TTGGAAAGGATACTGGCAACAGGAAGACTATTTATGCTATGAATTAATGAATGGAAAAGGGGTATGATTTCATAAGTGAAACTTCCTCAGACTCATTTTCAGACTCACAGTCATGAATAAGTGGTGTATTTGAGTATGTTAATTTGATAGTAATGTATTGTATTTACATTTAGAAACATGAAAGTCTTTATTGTTATTATGTTTTGCTGGTGAAAATGTCTGTCTGAAATAAATGATCATCATCAATATGTGTATATATCTGTATCTTCCCACCTCTTTTCAGGTTTGTAAGGGTATCGCTGATGAGTACATACTGAAATCACTTTTTGTTGTTCACGGTCATTGTGAATAATTTGGGAAATAATTCACTAGACAGTAGCATTCATCTGGTAATTATGATGTCAGTTGTGGTATTGTTTTTGTGCAAATTAACGATCTACACCAAACCAAAAATGTTTTCTTTAGGAGTTAAATTTGCAAGTTTTTTTTCTTAAAGTTCACATAGTGACAGACCTCACCCCTTAAATAGTCTTTCCTTTCATAACTTCTGGATATTCGCAAACAGACCATCTAAAACTAGCTTAACAGTGCTGCAGTCTGAGATCCTTTATATGGACACATGTGAGAGTAAGACAGTGGTGTAAAAATCCTTCTCACGTGCAAAGGCTTTTCTGTGCAGAGAGCATGCTTATTCTGTTATGTTATATAACACCTCACAAGTCTGTATCATTGCAAATAGCTTTTTTTTTTACATTAATAAGGAGATTAGGGTTGATATTCAACTTAGCTGTAAGAGGGAAAAATGGGTCTCTACTCAGTCACAAGTTAGGAAGATGAGGCTCAGCAGTACAGAGAGCTTATCTACTTTAATGGACATGTCTGCAGCAGAGAAGGCTGCAGCACCATCCATGTTTTCCTGCTAGTTCTTATTTGTAGCATTACAATACAAAACATCCAAATCTTGTTAGAATAATAGAAATTGAGAACAACATGGAAAAAACATTCAGCAATCCTTTAAGCTTTTACTATAACTAAAGACAGGCTAACTTTGGTTTATTAGCATAAATTATCACAGAAAATCCATCACATCTGAGCTTTACTATCTGTTGTTTTGAAGGACATGCCATGCATTCAGGTGAAAACAATTGAAGTCTGTAGGAATTAAGCATTTTGGCAATCAGAATGACTTCACTTTATTTAAAGGCTGCCCCATTAATTCTCAATTTAATGTATTCTTTTTTTGTTGTTGTGAACAAATATTTCTCAGATTGCAGTTCAAATGGGACAACACTTTGCTTCTTAAACAATGCAGCTTAAGAAGAGTTTTCATTTGTACTTAATTACTTAATGTCTTTACTTTGAAGTTAAACCACACTAGGAATTAAAGATGTATTTCTGCATGGGCCACCTAGTACTATAGTTTTCACGATTCAGTCCACCAATGATCACAGCTGTCTTATATCTGGCCTTAATTTAAACAGTAAATCATTTAGTATGTGTTTTGTTTGCATATTTGAATGCATGGGAGAATCACATACTTTTTATCAGAATTCATAAACTTGTGAGATTACACCAGACCCTAGAGTGTAAAAATCCTGTTTGATGTAAACTGTTCATGAGCTCACTTTGTAAATGAGTCACTGCTATAAAAATTCACACCATGCCACCCTGGAAGGATTATCAGGACATAATGTTTCACTTCATTGTATCAGAAAATGTTATATTCTCTCTTTTCTTTTTTTACATCCAGAGGGAATTTATATATTGTAAACAGATTATTTAGTTTTGTTTTATATTAAGCAATATATAACTTTGATGTGCAAGTCCACCTGCCTCAAGTATGAGTCATTAGAGTTCCATTTCAGTCATCAAAAGACCTCCTGGGAGTTAACCGTTTGGATGCTGAGTCTGAAGTACTGAATAAAATCAGACACCTCACTTCTCAAATTCTAATTAAAATAGATAAAACAATTTTGAGCATCATTGTTTTTGCAGTCTCATTAAATAATTCCCAAGGTTTCTTTCCAAGCAACCATGAATACTGTGTGCATCATGTAGAGCCATGTTTTAAAAAAAAAATTAATAAGAGAACAAGATTAATCTGGCACTGGAATACCTTAAAACTTGGCCGGAGTCTGTTTTCTATCCAACACTCCATCCAACATCGACTCATTTGGCCTCGTCCTAAAAGCTGTAAGATATTTTGCCCTTGAACACACATACAGGTTCAGGCCAGTTGACATGGTTTTCATGGCCAGTTAGCAACTCAGAAATTATATCCCATGATTCATGAATTATGATTCATAATGGTCAATGTGTTATGCACCCAAAGGAATGGAAAGTAAAGGGTGTGGATAAGGATTCGATAAAGATGTCACTTACTAAGTAATTATCACATGTCAAAAATTTGACACCTGTAATTATAGTCAGAATCCACATTTTATTGTAATTCAAATTAGAGGGTGTAAAAATTGGCCTAAATAGCTTAACTTTGGTAACGAGAATAGTTGAGAAAAGTTTTTGAGAATAAAGTTAAGACATTTATACTACTAATGTTGTACCATGTTCTTCTGTACTATTTGGCGACACAAATTAGACACATAATGAATAATATCTGTTACTGGAGGAAAGTTAACAGGAGCTTGTGTTGCAAGTCCTGAATGTCAATATTTCCTGTATAAAGAAAGCACTGCATCTCACAAAGCAAATAGACAGCTGTAGATAGCATGACTTTGTTTGGCTAATTTCACATTTGAAAGACTGAAAACATTGAACTTTTTGTGCCAAAAATGTAACGTATTAGATGAGAACTTTTATCTTTAAAGGTTTTATTGACTCTAGTGGCCTTTATTGGATAGTTAATTGACAGGAAAGTGGGTAACGAGAGAAAGGGAAGCCACGCGGCAAAGGTCAGAAGGCCGGGAATTGAACCTGCGACAGCCGTGTCGAGGACTAAGGCTTTAAGCTGCTTACAAATTCCTTGATAATGTTACCTTTCTCTTTTCAGTACATTTTGTTTGGCTGTTTTATAAGTCGCCTGGACTGCAATCTTTACATAAATTATAATTAATCATCTTTAGTTCAAAATGATTATCATCATTAATTTTGTAGCTTTAAAGTAAGAAACCTATAACTTTTCAAAGATGAATTAAAACATAAAATAATTTCTCAATAGATAGTCCATGTATATACCTTTACATAAGTGACTGGTCATAAATACCAAGCGGGGAGGAGCGTGTGAGGGGAAGGAGGAGTGCAGCCTCAACTTTCCCAGAGGCTTATGCAAGTGTCAGTTTGTGTTATAAATCATTCAAAGACTCTCAGAAGGGGCACAATACATTTTTATCCCTGCTCTCTCATCCCTCCATCCTATCGCCCTCTTTTATTATTGAATACAGTTCCTTTGAGCACACAGTCTGCCGCATGGCTTCATCAGAATCAACAAGCGGGCAAGAGGTTGGAGGATTAAGTAAGAGCTCAAAAGTAAAGGGTAAACATTTATTTTGAAGGTGAAAAATAATTTTTTTTAGGAGGAATAAAACATCTAATTTATTCAGAGTTCAAAGAAAAGTCGCAGGGTCATTAGAGAGCTGAATAATGGATTCAAGACTGTAGGGCTACTTGTAGAGAGTTTGTTTCTGTTTTTAGGCCGGTATGTGTTGCGGAAAGGTCAGTTTGTGTTCACTGGTAACACTGAATGCTTCACCACCTGCTTGTCAGGACAAAAACGGCGCAGTAGCTGACAGCGCTCTTCTGTCAGTGTGTCTGTCTGTGTGTCTGTGTGGGTGAAGGAGAAATATTATTTGTGCTTGCTGATGGGTGAACAACCGTAAGGTTGTTTGTCCAGATTGTTGTGATCTGTCATTGAACATTAATAGGAGGTTCATGAAGAACTTGTTCAGCAGCACAAAGAGGTCAAATCCCCTCCAACCCTCCGCTGTGTAAAATGGCCGTCCACCTGGTGGAAGTTCTGATCTTTATGATCCACAGCATAAATAAGAGCAAAAACCAGTAGAAAAAACCCTAAATAAAAATAATACCTGAAGTATATTATTTTCTAAAAGCTGATAGAGTAACTGGGAGTTACTGTGGGGATAATAACCACTGACAAATACCAAGGAGATTTTTAATGGCAGTTGAGTCATGCCACAGTATGCTCCTTCTCTCGTTATATAAAAGCTTTACATGTGTTTGCACAGGGCGAGTATCACTTTTATCACTCTTATCTCTTGTTTTATTAGCCATTAAACATAAGGAACATTTTACACAAAAAGCTAAATGCAGCCTTGATAAGAGTGAATAGAAAGTAAACATCATTTTGGTGTGTGGCATATTTGCCAAACATTTCCATGAGCTCATAGGATCGCTTGGCAGTCTCACTGGATGAACAATAGAGTAAGGCTGCCACGAACAACCTTTTTTTTTCCAATTAGTCTAAAAAATAATTTCTTCAGAATGTCACAAGTAATTTTAGTTATATTTGCCATTTACTTCACTCAACAAAAAAATGACTCCTCCATTAAAAACTTAACACAGTGTTGTTTAAGTTAGTCAGAATATTCATTAGGTATTATACTTTGTCAAAAAAAAAAAAAAAAAAAAATATATATATATATATATATATATATATATATATATAAATATATATATATATATATATATATATATATATATATATATATATATATATATATATATATATAATTTAACTGGAGAAATATAGTGTCCCAATGAAATGTTTCTTTAAAGAATATTTTTACAAAATTCTAAAAGATTTTTACATAAAATTCACCAACCTTACTAATGTCGATACATAGTTATGAGAAAAAAGTCATTATGTGTAACTCTCTACTGGTGTCTTAGATCTTCTGCCAATTTGTTTTCCTGGTTAATGTTGGTTTGACAAATATTTAAAGTCCACATTTAACATTTACCTTCCTGTACATAATAGTCATCTAACGTGCTCCTTTTGTTTTTCTTTCTTCCCCATTAAACCTCAGAAACGGTGTTATTCCAGTCATGAAGGAAGCTGACAAAACTGCAGTTCTTGGTTTATTCTGAGGAGAGTGGAAAAGAGAGGGAGACTGAGGATAGGCTAACACTTCCTGTCACACGTTTCTTACCGGTAAGTCATCACACACCTCATTCTCTGTTGCTTTTACTCTCATTTTCTTTGTTATTCTCATCCTGTCACTTACTTTTCACCACTGTAAGCAAACATTTTACCAAAAAAGGTTTTTATACCGGTGCATGCTCACACAGAAATGCTCTTCTTTGCACAGTTACATAAACAAACAGGACAGCTATGAGCCACCCTTATACTCTGTCTTAGTTTGCCTTATGTTGAAAGCTCAATGCTCTCCTTGCTCTATAATCTGCAAACATACATCAGGGTTAATATTTTCGAATGACTTTTGCAGCACATATTCTTAATTATGTTCCAAATTTCTATTTTGCAAAACCATGTCACTTATTTCTATTTGTCAAAAAAAAAAATATTTAGTTTTTTTAATATAATAGTTATGTGATCTAAAATTACTTTTGGTGATATTTTAAAGTCAGGGTTTGATACTTTGTTTTTCTTTAGGTGTATTTTTGCTAAATCAACTCCATATTGTAGTAAGTGATGAAAGCCTGAGATTGAGCCGTTGTTTCCGAGATCTTTTGATTTGAACAATAACATAAAATTGTCTTTGCTGCACAGAGAACCTTCATCGTTACAATTTTACCAAAAGTCAAGTACGTGGGTTTGCAGGGCTGTTGGCAATCCTTCCTGCTCTGCTGAATCACATGCTGATTAGTTAATAAAGGTTAGGGTTCAGATACCTACTTGTATTATACTTATTTATTGGTTTTATATCAACATTATAAAATTCATAACAGTGCCTTGATTCAGGCATTTGCAAAGTTCTAGTCCCATCCTGTATTAAAGGCATTGCAATCAGTGCTGTATATGAACCAAACTATGCATCGCTTCTTAAATGGATGTATATCTGACTCATCACATACAGCTGCAGTCGAACTGCAGTGAAACTCTCTTGCTCCTGCTGATGCTCCAAGTGTTGAACTTTAAGTTAGTGCTGTGCTAACACTAGCATGTCTCCTTTTTTGGTTTAATATGATTTTATGATCCTTTGTCTAACAACATATCACATTTGATGTGAGGAGAACCTAGTTGCTGTTATCCTAGTTTGGGAGTTTTTCTAGGTAATATCTAACAGTCAAATTTTAAGATTCCTTTTCACCGATGAAATTCCTTTTGTACACACAGAAACTGTAACAATGACTGTGATTTTGATATATTGTGCAGCATGAGAAAGAAAACGGAGTTTCTGCTGTTGCAGTGCAGTAATGACATTTGAATAAAATGACTGTGCCAATTCCACACGTGCCAGATAGTATGTATTTGTGTACATTCTCAGAATAAACCAATGTCACAATTCATACTAAAAACTAACAGCTGTTTCACATATACTGCGTTTAAATTTTCTCTTCGTTAGCAAGCTGGTATCATGCTTAAAATAAACTTTTTTTTATTATTCATACAGTAACGAGGCTGACCCACTTACTGTAATGCAGAAGGCTCACACATTCATACGCAAGCATACGTCACACACACACACACGCAGTGGACTCTGAGGACTTTGATTTCTTCTGAGATGAGAGGCTCTGTCTGTTCACAGTATGTTTTATCTGTATTTATGATACAGAATTATTAAAGTGCACATTATTATTATTAAGAGTGTTAAGAGTGTGTTTGATCCAAAGACTCACTGACAAATGCACAGAAAAACTTAAAGTCCTAAGTCTGCTCTTTAGAATAGTAGGAGTTAAGGGAACTGAGTTATTACGTAATTTTTATGCTTTCACTTTGACACACATAAGTCTCATAAACTTCATCAGCACAGTTCTTTTCTCCCACCATTAGATCTGGCAATTTGAATCCCAGTAAGAATTCCCACAGTCTGTCTAATTCCTGTTTGTGTCGAAAGCTGGGAGGGGGTTGGCCTAAGCTGATAAACCCCCTGGCCATGCAAATCCACGCACACGCCTGCACACGCACACGCCTGCACACGCAAACGCCTGCACACACAGACACACATATGGATGCTTGTGTGTTCTCTCTATACATCAGCTGTTTCTGTGCTAATGTATTTCTTTTCACTCTGAAAGAAATGCAGTGAAATGTGCTAATATTAATGTTCATGCTTCTATGTGCATCAATACTCTGTGATCACACTCACTGTCAAACGGAATCTCAGAAGGAGGAATGGATTAAATGAATGATGAAGGAAGAAAACATTTTCTTTATCAAAGACTTTCTTTTTCTTGTTTAAGAAAAAGGAAGGGGAAATCTGAGCAGAGACATGAAAGAACTGATGAAGCTCCGAGACCAGCAGGATAAGACGTAGTTTTAAAGAAGCCTTTTATGCATCCAAGTTATCAATGTATTCAAATGCACACATTGTTATCAGATAGTTTCCTCCTTTTTATTTCGGTATGCGATTGTGTTACTAATTAGGAACTTGTATGTGCTTTGTTTACAATGAAAGGCATTTTAAAACAAAATAGATGCTTCTGGTTATTAGTGTAATTCTAAATTTGGCAGCAATAGATCAAAGTTTACAAAATTCAACATGGAACTTTTTGAAATAAAGATTTTTTTTAACCTTTTAACTTTGAATGTTTGAAAAGTACTATTTACTCTTAACCACATCCTTAATTTATTCTTTCATTGAAAACTTTAGACATTATTATGCCTGGAGAAAACTACAAAACCCTTGATGTAGTTGCAGTAAGTAGCCCTGTCAATTTAAAGCCTTCTCGAGAACCCCTGAAATGTTCCTGTGGGAAATAAAATCTAAATGTTACTGTTGGTTATTTTCTAACAATTTCTTCATCATAAAAAAGTTTACATTTACAAGGTTTGGATTTCATCAGTTGACCTAAACCCGTTAATAACTTTTGTGAGACTTACTTTTAACTGTATTTGTAGCAATGTAACTGAAAGCTGTAAACGTAAAGTATGAGGTTTGCATGCCAGAACTAAAAACAGACACTTCAGTGGAAAAGATGAGAAACTAAAATTAAAGGTAAATTCAAACTGTCATGAAGATAACATACCCTACTACTTTGAATAATTTAAATAAACCTAAAATATTTATTCATAATTGTCTAAAAAGGTCTTCATTAAAATAATTTTACTTATACACAGAAATATTTTCTCTGTTTAATTGGCAAAGATAAAACAATATGATGTCTAAATAATCCATGCTTGTAATAAACCTGGTCTTTTAATAGCAATTTGACATAATTAGTAAAGCACAAGAGGCTTAGACAGGAGGAAGTATCTGTATGTTTATGCATTTCTTATGTGAGCATATTGACCCACATTTAACACATGGATGCTTTCATGTACATGCATACATGTATAATTACTAGAATGAGGCTGAAGTTAATCTTTGGCCCTTTTATTTTGTGCATGCATCTAACATAACGGTGGAAAATTATTATTTTTTCACTCATCTAAAGTTTGAGAGGAGCATCAAGTTCATTAATTATTTCTGAGTTGGATCATAAAAAAATACAGTTTTCGATGTGTGTTTGGTATATGCAAAATATCAGGCCATTTTGACATAAATTCTCTAATCTCCTCTTTACAGATTAAAGTTTATATGTTGCATCGTCTGTAATGCACCATTGCAGAGACTGCAGTAATAGTGCACATACGAACCAAATGAATAGGAGTAATGTGGACTTAACTTTTATTGATGTTTTTCTTTAATTCTTTAGCATTTATTCCACAAATCCACAGTTTCTGACTCCACATTTGTCACTACCCTCTAGCAAGGGAGTCCAAAGTGTGCCCGGGCACAGATTTTGTGAGGCCCCTGACTGTAATTTAAGTATGGTGGATGACGCAGATGGAGGCTTTTTATTTTCAGTTGGGGCACAGTTATTGCCACAAAGTTAAAATCTTATTACATTGGAAAGTGGTAGGTACAACACAAGTCTTTCATCTTTTAATAACCACACTTTTTGCATTTTTGCATAGAACTTTGCAAACTTTAAAAAATCTCAAAAGATTGACTCAAATCTTGTTCTCATTTCTGAGAATAATCGAAAACTTTTTATATTTCAGTCAAGCCCAAAATATTTTCTTTTTCTTTTTAGAGTCACCTATATATTAAACTGTTACTTCCCCTTTCACACTAAATAAAATAATAAAATGGACTCTCCACAACTGTAGTTGTTAGGGGGTTGCCATTGTCATAGGACAATTTTGATAATCTTTATCCTGACAATAGAGATAATACAATAATGCCTAGCCCATTGGTATTTTGTGGGCAGCTCATACAGTTGTGTAGTAGTACACATGTAGTAAATAAATCACACAGCACAGATTTAATCTGCCTAAGCTATTTGCCTAATCAGCTCTTTTAGAACAATACTTTTCATAGATTCAGACACGTGCACACACACAAAGCGACATTCTTTACTGGACTGGTAAGAGCTTTACCAAGGCCCCTGTGTTACAACTTGTTGTTGTCACTTAACAGAGAAAAGGAGAGGACAGTACATCGGAACATTAGCAGGTGTAATGCAGCTTCTAAGGGTCACATAATGTAATGGAGCTGCTTCTGTGCTCTGTGTCTGTCTTTAGAAAACTTTACTTAAATTTCTTTCATTTTATTGCTTCCTCACATTTTGACATTCTGCGTTAAGAAATCTGAACAAAAGCTTTTTTTATGTATTCATGTGTTCAGTTGCGCAGTGGGTGTGTGTTTCATGAGGAGAGAGTTGAAATTGATGTTGAGCCAGTTACTATCTGGAGAACTCAAATAGGAGGGATGAGAGGAAGAGGGGCTGATGCAACCAGAAGACAGACAAATACAGAGTAACACAAACAGACACACTGCTTCGTTCCTCAGGTCAGCAAATAGACAATAGATTTATACACATTGTGAAATAAATACAATTCAGAAAAAGATGCAAGCATTAGAAATAAAAGTGCGGTTCTTTTTTGCTTGAAGGTAGGTCCCACATTTGTGGTTTTCGCATTTATTCAGTTACTATTTTACCATCTTCAAGCAGTTTTTTTTCCTTTCTCCTTTTGGATATTTTATTTTTACTAATTCACCGAGAACACATCAAAGCACTGTTGGGTAGTTTACAACTTTCTTGTCTGCTAAATAAGATTTCTTAAGTACCTGAATCACACAAACCTTTAAAAATGCTTGATAGGCCTTTATTTATTTATTTTTATCAAAGATCTTGATTGTGTAAAGTTTGAAGGTAGGTCCCATGTTTGTTGTTTTCACATTTCTTCTCAAAGGCCGCTCTCTAACTTTGGGCTGCTTTTGAGAAGATCATTGTTTTATCATGGGCATTTAATTCAGCAGCAAGTTGAAAAAGTTTTGTTTATTACAGAAATGAGCGGAAATTAGTATCAGCAGGTCGAGCTGCACAAAAATGGTGATAGGAAATTGGCCACAAAATCAGATTGAAAGAAACTTTTTCCCATTCAGAACTCAAGACGGTCATCTTTGTGCATCTGGTGCCACTGAGGCAGACTGCACCAAACCTTGCCTTTAAGACTGGTATTTCTGGGGTGAGTGTGATGGCTTATATCCCTTTAAGGCCAGAGGATTAGTATGATGCTGATGCTTAGTGTCTTGGCCTGTGTGTCTTGTCAGCTTTCTCTGTGTGGGGCTATCCTTTGGAGCCAGATTTGCTTGCTGCATCTGGCTGATGTGCAGAGAGATTTCATGGTAGACAGAAAAAGAACGAGAGACTGGAATCAGAGAGATGTCGTGCAACTGCACACATGTGTGTGTTGCATGTGCAGTGGAGCTAACTGGAGCAGTTTGTCCAGGACGCATACACGCTTGACGGCCTTGCTGCAGCCTTGTAAATTGCAACACTCTGTGTTGCTGTAAGCGAATCCATACACATGTATAACTGTTACACACTGTGCATGTGCGGAAGTGATGAATCTGTGACTCAACTTCAGCTGTCAAGCTTGTGCGTGTTTATGTGCATGTCTGTGCAGCACGACAAAGCTTCATCATGAATGTCTCCTTTTTTAAAAATCACCTACCAACTGCCTGGAGTCACTAATAAAAACACTTAATGTACAGGCACATACAGGCGTATTTTTGAAGGAACCGAGACATGTGTTGAGTTTAACATTCTTTTTCCCAAAACTTGCATGCAATAATGAAAATCTAAAAAGTTGATGATGTTGTTTTGAACTGTGTTCCCAGGTCTAGCTGGCCAATGCCGGGCCCGTCGTGGACATCTGGTGGCGGTAGCAGCAGCGGCAGTGTGTATGCGATTGTGGTCACCGACGCCTAGCCCATGTCCAGCCCATGATGCCGTCATCCACACGGAAAGGAGTGCCGAAAGATCCCGAGCTGGCCGACCTCTTCTTCAAAGATGACCCGGAAGAGGTCTTCTGTGACCTACATGAAATCGGGCATGGCAGCTTTGGAGCTGTCTACTTTGTGAGTGCTGTCCTAACAGTTTATCAGTGAAAACAAGAAGTTCAGCATTTGTTTAAGTTCTTAACTGATCAAATGCCAGTATAAATGGAAATGCTGCTTCTTAATGTTATTTCTGATTTAATCCCTGTTGTCTATCTAAAAAAACCTTGAGAGTTTTGCAGCTTAAAGTTTTGGCAATAATGCAGTTAAAAATAATAGGCTGCTGGTATAACTTCTGAAAGCTTAGCGTAATATGCAGCTGGGTTTTAACTCTTTACCACATGATGTGGTATCTTAATTCACAGATATACCTCGTTGCTTTACACAACCATTATTTATTGTTATTATATGAATTTAATTAATCTATAATGACTCTTAAGGTGTAAAATCATCCCCTCTCAACACATTCTATGCTGCCTTTAATTTTAATCTTCACTAATTACTCATCAGGCCTTTGATTTTAAAACTGCATGGAGGCGAGATGAGAAAATGTTGCATCTTTGCTCTTTCTTCTCCTCTTTTTTGCACACCCCATCTCATACTTTAACTTCAGATGTAGAGCTGGGGCGATTATCCTCCCCGCATGGTAAACAGCTGTCCTCTTTATATGGAATAAGTGAAGTCGATGAAGGGACTGCATTTCTTTTTACTGGTATGGCTTTGCCATCTTTTTCTTTCCAGTGTCAGTTGCAAACATGTACAAATAACCACAACACATCAAATGTTAGACAAATAATGTCCAGTGCTGTGTTCACTTTAACTTAAAATCTTTCCCTTCCAGCTTGAAAAAAGTTGAGGTTATCGTCAGTAATCATAATTATCACAGATCAGTAAACAATAGTAAAAAGAAACAAAAACAGTTAGTAATGCTACACAAATACTAGGCACAAGTGAAATGTATAACTTCAATTACAATGCTACAGATTTCTTCTGCAACATCTTATTTTTCATGCTTGCGCGTATTCTTTTTCGTAAAATTGCTTTAATTAACCCTCTTTTCAATCATGAACGGTCTGCTTTTGGTTATATTGTAGCAACTCAATTGGACTTAGGTCCAGAATTTTGACTGTGCCTGGTCTGCTTTGGGTTCTTGTCCAGGTGTGCTTAAGGTCACAAATTGAAGGCCAGACATTTTGCTTTGGGATTTTCTATTTGAGATCTTAGCTGTGTGATGATCTGAAGAATTTAAGCCTTCATAGAGGAAACGTATTGGGCACCATTACGTTCTCAGAACTCTCTATATTGTTTATTTTAAATAAAACATTGATCTTCTACATCTTTAGTATTATTTTATTTTCAAGTGTGTATTTCCTGCTACAAATCCTGATAATCTTCTTTCAAAAGCAAGGGTGTGTTTGTACTTTATAGACAGAAATGTGCAGTTATTTGCAGCCACTCATTAACCTTGATAGAGATAATTATAACGAGCATATCTATATTTTAGACAGATCAGAACTTCTCTCATTAATATTTTAGCACCTGCATAGTCATAGGACAAAGAGATTTTAATAAGAAAATCAAAGTGGAAATAATGTCCTTGCTGAAAATCCACTGCTGAATGAAATGCAGACCATCTGCAAACATGGGAGCCGCGTGGCAGCTGCAAAACCTGGCACACTAATAACGTGCTGGGATTACTGTAGGTTAAAGACAGTGTAGAAGCACAAGTTCCTATATATTTTACTTCCTCCTTTGCATCATAAAATGACTCCTTCACATCATTATATCCTATAATAGTTTTATTCAATGTTTTTACAATTAAAATATTGTTATATTATCCATAACAAGTTTATAAGAAGCAGTCAGTTTGACAAAACAGGGATTTTATTGCTGGGGCTTTGAGAAAATAAAGCAGATCCACAAAACCACAACAAAACTTGTCCAGCAACGCTATGTTCACACTTAGTGGCATCATCTAGGAAGAAATGCAGCTAGAAAGAGATTTGCTAAGCCAGTTGTAAAAAGAATAGATGTAACTATTTACAGTTGTAGCCCTATCAATGGCTTTGACCATGGCAAACTCTAGGGTCTTCACAGAAAGTTAAGTAGTTCAACACAAATGCCAAGAAGAGCAAAAAATAAATAAAAATCAAGAGGTTCTCTGATATCTTGCTGCCTGTATCCCTTTGTTTTCGCTCAAATCTGTAATCTGCTCATTTTTTCTTTCAGGCCCGTAACTCCTACTCCAATGAGGTGGTGGCCATCAAAAAGATGTCCTATAATGGAAAGCAGACCACAGAAGTAAGAAAATATTCACAATTTCAAAAAATTTAACTTTTGAATGCTCTACTGCAGTTTAGTGGTTTCATTTTTCCAACATGTTGCAAAAAGCTGAAGTTTGAAGGGGAAATTCTATATGGCAAACATCAGCCAACCTTTCTTTGTGACATAGAGTTTGGAGTTGCATAAGATTCCCAGTCTGTATTCTGATTGAACTTAGCATAATAAATTGTCTGTTATAAAATACCTCCTGCTTCAGTTAGTTAGTTTGAAAGAACTAAATAAAGTGAAACTGTCTACTTTTTCTTTCCATGTTCTGTTTAGGAACCTGTATTTACAGCCTGTGATGACAGCTTGCACTCTAGTTGAACTGAAACCCTTATTCAGTGGTTTTGGAAACTTTCTTATTTTATAAATGTATGACAGAGATGGCATTGTTTCAGGGCTGTCGTCTGATGTTTTCAGAAGCTTTTTAAACTTTATTCTTTATTTTTTGTTTCTCCTGGTGCAGCACAATCAAGCTTTTTATATTTTATTTTTATTTTTTTGCAGAAGTGGCAGGACATCATTAAAGAAGTTAAGTTTTTGGGACAGCTGCGACACCCAAACACCATTGAGTACAAAGGCTGCTACTTGAAAGACAACACTGCCTGGGTTAGTGCGCCCTTCTGCGAACACTCCTTTGTTGTGTCTCTGTTTTTGTCTTTATTCATCCAGACACCCTTTAAATTGTGTTTTCCTTCAGATTACTCTTTGTCTTCATGTAGTGTTAATAATATACATTTTCAGATTGCAACACCAGTTTAAACAAATTTGACCAAATGCTCTGAATCTGAGATAACAAAAACCATATGAGCTGTTTATTTTTCTGTTTCAGCTGGTGATGGAGTATTGCCTGGGCTCCGCATCAGATTTATTAGAGGGTGAGCATATGAAGTTGCACACCTTTTCATGCGTGTGTCCTAATTGAAGTGGCTGATTGTGGTTTTGAATGCACCTTCTGCTTATCCATCTCTTAGAAGGCGACATTGATATTGTAGAACTAAAATGAAAGCTGGCACAGTGGAGTAAACAATGCTGTTGTCTATTCAGCTGAATTTCAAATACAAGCCTGATGTGTAAAAAAGCACTCCTCTATGCTTCTGCTTAATAAATTAATGAAGGATTGTCTTATTAGACCACTATGGGACAAAAACATTTGGGTTTGTTTTCCATGTACTTAATAAATCTAACCCAGTCCCAAAAGAGTTTTCTTTTTAAAAAAATCTATTTGTTACTGTGATTCTGAGAATAGCTCTCATCATTATACATTTGAACCCAAACTATGCCTATGATAACAACCTGATGAAAGTTTTTTTAGTCAGGCTATCTGCTCTTGTAGTCTGCCTGTTTTTAGTTTTCTAACAGATGCTGATCATAGTTTGCTGACTATGATCACACTGTTCATTTCCACTAACCGCTACGGTTTGTGTCCACAATATGACAGTATGTGTTTTTTGCAACTGTCTTTTTTTCCAAACACTTGCATTTGTCTTGTAAAGGACTGAAAGATTTATGAGCCTGTAGAGCACAGCAACACTGTGTCACTCTAAGCTTCATGCAACCAGAAAAAAACTCTGGTCACCAAGATTTTAGGCCCTAAACATGGAGTTATTTGAAGGTTTAGTGGATTTGAAGACATAACTTTTAAGAAACTTCATGCTGGTAACTGTCTGTGAGGGTGTTTAACTTTAATTTCTGTATTTTCACTGAAGTTCATAAGAAACCACTGCAAGAAATGGAAATTGCTGCCATTACCCACGGTGCCTTGTTAGGACTGGCTTACCTACATTCCCATAATATGATTCACAGGTGAGTCAGTTAACTTGCTTAATACATTTTCCGTTAGGAACCTTCAGTGAATAAGTGCAATAATGCAAGATTAGTAATGACACTCCTGTTTTTCCACTCAAGGTGAAGTTTTGTTACCAAGTTGTAAAACACTCACGTTTGCAATCATTCTCAAAAAAGTACAGGAAGGGTGTAAAGTAAATATTTTCTTTTACTTGTCTGTAATACTATGTTTTGCCAGAAAGCTGTGACAGGAGTGATGACGTCTTTTAATTACTGTGATACTCAGATGATATCAGACTGAGATGAATATTTTATCTGTAAATGAGCATGTCAGCAACAAGTGCAATAAGGATGTTTATCTTTACTGATTCGTCTTTGTGGAAGTATAAAGCTGTCACTCCAGCGAAACAAAATTCAACTGTATCACTTTATAATGTGAAAACTTTTTCCATGTTTGTACAAATATGGGATCTTGTTATTATCTGTACTTACAGTAGATAATTATCACATTATAACACAAATCTTTTCATGTTCTCAAAATAAAAAATATTTTTATGAACAGGTTAATTCACTGTGAAATCTTCAAAGATATTGTCATATAGCTCTTATATATATTTTTTCCCTGAACGGTATCAATACATTTGTACCTGGAACTGGCTTGTTCTTTTGTTTACTTTTTTTTATTAACCCACATAATGTCACCTTTTCTCTCTTCCTTCTTGCCATGTCCTCACCCAGAGATGTGAAAGCTGGTAATATCCTGCTGACTGAGCTGGGTCAAGTCAAACTGGCTGACTTTGGCTCTGCCTCCATTGCCTCACCTGCCAACTCCTTTGTTGGAACACCTTACTGGTCAGTATACACAACACAATAAAACCCAACAAAATTTAATTTTCTAAGAAGTCCGAAAATACTTTATGAGAATATGTTTTCCTGGAAAAGCTGTTTTAACCAAGGACACAAATACAACATCTGAAAGAGAAGAACACAACACAGAAAATAGAACATGATTCTATTTAAAAAGGACTTAAATTTTATAAGACTAACAAGAACTTTTTTGATTATTTTCCAACGAAGATAATGGATACTATATTTCTTTTTTTCCATTTTAATTTCTTTTATGAACTGGAATGTCACAATTAAATTTCTAAAAAAAAGTTTTTAATATTAAAAACAGATAAAAATTTTATATAAAATTCCAGGTGCTGGAACTGCTCAGTAAATATATATATATGTATTTTTGTCATGATCATAAAACGTTTTCTGATATTCCTGTCATATTCCTGTCACCATGGATCCAGCTTGTAAAGAAATAAATCCGTAAATTGAGACCACATTATCGGTTTTTGTAATTTTTAATCTCTAGATGGGATTTCAAGTTATTAATCTTTTTTTACATGTAATAACTGTAAACTAAAATATGTTAATCTATTTTCCACATTAAAATGAAAAAAAATAAATCACACATTGTTCATATTTGATTGTAAGTGAAATCAGTTTCAAAACAGCTAGACAAGTTGTCTTTTGCACAAAAACTGACACACTCGTTTGTAGGAACACATTCCAAAAACCGAGCTGCTATCACAGCATAGCAGAGTCTTAAAAAGCTTTGAGAAGCTTAGCAGATTATAACATTTTCATGGATTTCTCTCCCCCTGGTACTTAATAGAGTATCTGTGTATCTGTGGGGGTGTTTGCATGTGCCTATATCTGTCCACAGGATGGCCCCAGAAGTGATTTTAGCCATGGATGAGGGTCAATATGAAGGTAAAGTGGACATCTGGTCGCTGGGGATCACCTGTATTGAACTGGGTAAGCAAATACCTTCTAAGTGATTTAAATAAAAACTTTAACTAGATTATTGTAAATGAATATGCAAAACAATTAGTCGAAATCTGCTTTTGTTTTTCAGTCTTTGTGATTCTGATTGGTTCTTTTTAAAACTTTGACACAAGAATAAAACCATGTGTCTTTCACTCTCCCATCTGTTCCTGTTTCAGCGGAGCGTAAACCTCCCTTGTTCAACATGAATGCCATGAGTGCCTTATATCACATCGCACAGAATGACTCTCCCACGCTGCAGTCAAATGAGTGGTGAGTCTTAGTAATTCCATCATATTCCAACTTAAACATATTTTCTATTTGGACTCATCTGACCATGTTTTCTGTGTCTGTTACATGGCATGTGGTCAGATGGTGAACTGAACAATGACAAAAAAAGGAAAGGTTTATCTAGATTTTTGTCTATGAAGGTCATTTGAAAACTATATTTTCAAATGTCCCTATAACACCACCAATCAGCTCATTTTACCAGCTGAAGCAGAAACATAAAGCAAAAGTAAAAAACATTCATTGCACTTCACAGTCAGGCTAACACTCCCCTGTGGCTTTAGAGCCCTGTGACAAGCTTTGTGCAAAGTCACTCTCTGAGTTATTTTAAATGCAAGGAGGAGGCCCTGACCAATAAAATTCTGTTTATTTACATCCTGACCATCGCCCTGTAATAAAAGGCAACATCATTACAAAGCAGTCTGGATTATTCAAAAATATTCCTGTGGTTTAAATTAACTTCTTTTTTTCTTGTCTGGTTTAAATATAATTTTCATCCAGGCACACATTAGTTGCTGTTGTACTGAGTAAAATGGCTCCCTTCATGCATCTTGCTGGCGCTTTGAACCTCACAGCTCCTGACTGTGAATGTTAATAGATTCTCTTGGGACAATCCTTCCAGACATCAATTGTTTTATTTATTTATTTCTTGGAGATTTAATTTAGACCAACAGTTTTTTAACAGCATCTTGCTATCTCTGTGCAACACCATCTCATCTTGCACAGAGAGAAAAAGCTCTGTTTTTTTTAGCTATAGCCTGCAGTGCTACCAGATGCTATCATACTGTTTGACATTTTTGTGCCTGATTCATCTCGTAAATGAAGAAAACGTGTGTGTTCATTCTGTACATTGTTGTCACCAAGAATACTTTGGTGTACCCTAATATGAATGATTGAATGATGTTGATATGTGTGCCTTAATGAAGAAATTAAGAGATGTTAATTTGTACTTTGAGGAAAATGCAAATCAAAACAAGATGTAAAATATTTTATGAAGTCCTCAGAGGCTTGTCAGAAAACATTAACGAAGCATTGTGAAAACCCAAGACCACAGCAGATAACTCAGGGATGAAGCATTTGAATAGCATAGGAAAACTTCAAACCTTCCCAAGTGTTGTGCTGGGTAAAGTGAGCATTAAATGTTAATTGCACTCCATCTATATAGTTCTTTTCAAAGCTGATCACTCAAAATGCTTTACATTAAGCCCACATTCTGTCATTAACTGACACTGACACAGTGGAAATAGTCTTGCAATCCTAAAGTTGTGGGCTTAATAGAAGAATCCAAATGAGTAAAACACAGAGAGGTTTGTGGAAAAAACATGACACAAAGTTCAAGGGAGTCTGAATATTTTTCCAAGGCACTGCATAAACAGCTTAATGGGTATTTTAGCAATACATAAATATATATTTCCTTTTTCTGCAAATACTATCCAATTTGGGCAACTAATCTTTGTCTTGAAGACGAGGTTTAACTAAATATCCCTACTTTTCATGAAAGTTTGATTCAAAAAGAGTTTTCTTTCCTGAATTCTCAATTAACACCTGTTGTAAAATTAGTTTTGGTTTCCAGCGCTGTGCTGAAGTGACTGATTGTGTGGGACTGCACATGATTTGTGGTATTTTGGGAGGAGCTTCAGCTGCCCATGGCATTAGCAACATCCAGCCAGATAAAACCAGTAGAGACATTAGCTCAATAGTGTTCAGTACCAAAACACAAGGCCACACTGTGTGCACACATTGGCACATCACACATGTACTTGTGTTGGCCTCAGATGAGAAAAGTGCTACAAGTTTAGGTAAAGGGAGGCGAGGCATTTGGAAAGTGCAGTGCTTGCGCATGTTCTGACCGGTCTGTGACCCTGGATTTGCATATTAATTTTATTAAAATCCCCACAGCCATCGGGGGCTACTTTATCTCAACACCCCATTACCATGATGTTTTATTCCATAATGCGCTTTAAAGCATATTTTTAGATCAGAGCTCCACATCTCCAGTGGCCTGTATTTTCATTGCTCTACATATTTATATAATATATATATATATATATATATATATATATATTTATAATATAATATAATATATATATATATATATATATATATATATATATATATATAATATATATATATATATATATATATATATAGGGCTCATGTATTTAACATATTTGTTATTTTTGTTTAATATTCCCAATTTTTAATGTTTGATGTGTGGATAATTATTGACCTATATCCCTGCCTTGCAGGTCGGATGCTTTCCGGAACTTTGTTGATTTCTGCCTACTGAAAATTCCTCAGGACAGACCCTCGTCAGGGGAGCTGCTACGAGTGAGTGGGCTTCCTCTCTTACTCTGCCAACTATGACCTCACTTCCTGCCTTAGTCGGTCCCTGAGCCCCGAGGATGAGTCATTCCCATCCACCCACGGCTCCCCAATACGCAAGCACACACACACACAATGTCTTCAAGTGCAGGAACAGGGCATCCTGCTGAGAGTTGCTTGTTATTTCTTTGTCTTTTTTCTTTTTTGTCAGCTTCCTCTTTTATGCCTTGCAGTCATGTTTTTCAGAGCAGGTTTATATCTTTGCTGTCTATACATTCCTTTGATATGACTGCATACTATTTCAAGCCTATGCATGTGTGTGTGTGGTTGTATATAAAATATATAGAGGACCATTACAAGGAGATCATTTGTGGAAAATCCTCCCTGTTTTCTCACTTGGATGCATTCCACTATTTAGGTTTAGCTGTATGGTGTGAATTAAGTTTTGGTTAGTACTAGTAATGGTTAAGATTGGGAAAAATGTCGAGACATTAGATAGGTACTAAAATGAGCGAAAGTAAATTCAAAATCCTCAGTTGGATAGAAGTATAAATATTGTGTGTTTTGCATTTTTTTTGTAAAGAAACCCAAAATGACATTTGCTGTAAATAGGCGGTATATAAATAAATTGAACTGAATTCACCAGCATGTGTAAGAAAACTAACCTATCTTTTACATGTGTATGTGTTTATAGACTTAACATTTAAAGGACTAACGTATGACAACTAACAAAATAAGCCCAATGTTCAGCACCTCGTTGCAGCTTAAGGATTGTGTGCCATCTCATATTCAAAAGTTTGAAATTGTATCCAAAACAAAGTATGTTGTAATTTTCTTATCTGGTTATTGCACAGAGTGTTATGCGTTAAGTAAAAGAGTGCAGAAAGAGACCTAAACTGTCCATGAAAGGAAATATTTTATGAAGCATACAGTTTATCTGCAGGTTAATCTATTTATTTGGTGTAAGCACAGTGAGCCTATCTTTGGGTAAAGCATGAAGGTTGGTTGAGTTTCGGTGTTGCAGAGTTTATCTTGTTTGTGCGACCAACAGGTAATCCTATTGGGCTGCTAAGAGCTTTATGTTCTTGATGATCATGCTCAGCCGCACAGAGCCGTACCCAGACTTACGACACCTTCATCGCTTCAGATGGCGAAGAAATGGTGTGAGGTTATGTCGCAGTCACATCAGGAGCTGTGAACTGTTGTCAAAACCTTAACCCTATTAGACACTACTTTCCTCTTCTTCACATCCCTAACTAAATCCTAATTGCAAATCAAAACATTAAGGAATTATCTTATAGATTTAGTTTCAGCTTGGTTTAGTGGAAATCATACACTAAACCAAGGTATTATTTAGTTATTAATAACATATTTTGTCTTCTCACACATTAATGTGCAAGCTGTTCTTCTAACAGTACACTCATGTGTTGGCATATTCTCCTCCAAGCTCTTTAAAAGGAAAAATCAGGTCAGAAGTCTCATGCCTTTTAGGTCTACATGTTCTGACTTCAGATTAATTGCATTCTCTCCCTATGTTCCTTATTACAAGTGATATTAATTATATAAATTAGGAAAAAATACTCACTAGCCCTCTGTTAGAAGGACATATATCATAGGTTGTATTTACAATGTTTTCCATAAAATATAGTCAAATAAATACATAAATAATTGAGATAACATCTTTACATATGTTTTATGTATGTATATTTCTGAGCATTAAATGAAAATTTTTTCTGATATAGCTTAGCATAGCAACCCTGTCTTTATCAAAGACAGAGGAAAAAAAAAACAAAGTCCAATTTAAAACGTTTTAACATATTGTGTTGATGAAAAATGCATTAACTGGTAAGCTGTACAGCTATTATCATTAGGACTGGGTTGAGACTTATATTTTGGCATTAAAGGTTAATTTACATTACTCAAAAATAATTTATTTTAAACTAAAATGACTACTGGTCAACCAGAACGATGCATCAAAAAGCTAAAGAGTTGGAATGCTTTTATCCTCATAAATATGTGATGCTCAACATGGTAAATCTTTAAGGATGGCACTTTACAGCAAACCCCTTTATATTTGGAGAAGGAGCTGTAGGAGGGCTGTCACATTTTCTCACATGAACTCTGATAATCGTTCCGAGTCTTAACTGTTCGGTGTGACAGGGTCGGCCAACCACCCACATTCTGATCTACTGTAGGTCCATCAAAAAACGGGACAATCACGCATCGCTATTTTCAGAGTGTGATGTCACTCCCTTGTGTCCTGGCTAACCCATTACACCAGCATCTGTCACATGGAAAGGAGGGTGTACAGAAGGAGAGGAAAGGCTACAAATAGATCTAAAATTGTACTTTTTTGGTAGCGTATATTGCATACAATTCATCCATTAAAGCTTTCAATATTTTATGAATGAGCGTGACTCAGTGTGTGAATCTGTGAATGTGTGGTGTGGTAGGAGGATGTGTTGGAGGTAGCAATCCTTGCCTTTTTTTTTATTCTTATTTTTTGGTTACTGTAATATGAAGTGCTAAAAATAGTGGTACAGAAAAATAAAACCTCAAATCGTCTTTGTCATTCATCAATTTACTATGACCAATCAATCACGTGAGATGCATGTAACAATCATATATATACAAAACATCCCAACTTGCACCACATTACACCTTGATTAGTTTTCACATAAACAGCTTGATAATGTGACCTCAAATTTGTGAAAACTACATTTAAAAAATTTAAACATTAAAGAAAATATTTTTTATTAACTAAAGATATTTTGAGAACTTGTATATTTATTAGCATGCACTAATGTGAGAAATATCACACCATTTATAAGCAAAATTCTAAACTATCTACCTCATAGTGTTTCATAATTATTTAGCCCTTTGGATTGTAATTTCTTTTAAAACCAAAAAAATAATAATCAAGCTTTTTAAGCTTGATATTTCACTGTTTTACTTGACATAATTTACCAGTTGTCATTAATTTGTCTGCAAGGTAAAATTATTTTAGAGTTTAGTTGAAGTAAAAAGGCTTAAAAGTGTTAATGAAAATCAATGTTTAGGAAAATGTTAGGATTTCATATAATGAGGGTAGTGGTGAATATGGGGTGCTGAGACTCCTAAGATAAGCAACCTACAGGCGCCCTCTAGTGACAGAAACACTTTTACATCGCATTGAACTAGAGAATAAAGTGATGCAAGTTATAATCTCACATGCACTTTGACATTCTCTTCCAAAGCCTTAAAACTAAGGTTTTCTTTTTTTTATATTATTTTGCATTTTTAGGTATTCGTGTACAGGTTTTACGGTTATGCTGCTGTATGTTAACTGATCTTACAGTATTCACATGTAGACATTAATACATTAGAAATATAACATTTATACTGAAACATTTGAAAAGCTTCACATAGTGATGCATTTCAGATGTCTGTTTCAGATTATTGCTTATAAATAATGAATATATATATTACTAAATATTTTCCAATAAATGGATTTGTAGTTTTTTTGTTGACCTACAAATCAACTTGATATAGAAATGGACAGGCGAGTTTGTTGGCCAGTCCAGCACACTTTCAAAGTTTGAAATCCAGAAAACTAATTCAAGTAATATTCAGACATTTAAAGAAAGAAGATCTAAAGATCAAAGTTGATGTCTGGTTCAAGTAATTCACTTACTAACTCCTGCTCTCTCACTTTTGTTCGCCTCACACAGCATGAGTTTGTGCGCCGAGAACGCTCGCCGCGCATCCTCATTGACCTCATCCAGAGGACCAAGGATGCAGTGCGGGAGCTAGACAACTTGCAGTACCGCAAGATGAAGAAGATTCTCTATCAGGAGAAACACAATGGGCCCTTGGGGGAAAGCCAGGAAGAGGAGGAGGTGAGGAAAACTGAATCAGATTTGAGAAAATAATGCAGTGTGACTGAAATACAATCATAGTAAAGAATATTTATACAAAAATAACTTTACTATTAGTCACAAAACATTTTGTGTGTGTCTGTATTTAGTCTGAGTTACTTAAATTATTCAGATGAGTTTGAAATCTCTTAAATTAACAAATCTCTTTGTGGAAACTGTACAAAAAAAAGGTCAGAAGTGGATGATAAAGAAATCAATAACAATTAGGTAGTTGGGTTTCATAACTTGCATAAAACGGTTGCAAACTGAAATATTTTTGATTTTTACAGTTCTTTTTTTAAGCTTTTTAAGCTTTTGATTTTACTGATTGAGGCATTCAGAAAATATCTTACTCTACATTTTAAATTGCATAAGAACACTTTTTTTACTTCAAAGATATTTAGGGATTTTTTCTGTTACTGTAAAACAGCTATAGAAGTTTATTATCTTTGTCTATGATTTTCATACTCCATAGACTTCTAATGTGAATAAGAAAAAGAAACCTGTTAAACTTAATTAATTTAACATACAAAGTAGTTAAATGGGTCGATATTAAAGTGGTTTATCGATGTCACTCATCAACGTCTGTTTGTGCATGCATGTGTTTCTGAACATTTGTGGTCCCAGCAGGACAGCGAGGCACCAAGCTGCAAGATGAACAGTCTGGGCAGCAACCACTCCATCCCCAGCACCTCCGTCAGCACTGGTAGCCAGAGCAGCAGCGTCAACAGCATCCAGGAGGTGCTGGATGACGGCTGCTCCGACATGACCATGATGCATCCCCAGGACTACAGCAGCACGCTGGAGTCCTCTGCACACACCAAAAAGGTGAAGGTCAAGGCTGATGAGGGGATGTCTGTGAGTGTTTGGGACTAGAAAAGAAAAATCCTCAAAATCGCTGAAGACATGACAGTAGTGTGTCACCGTAAAGACGCAGAACATTAACTTGATCACAAGTAGTTTGTTTCTCATAATGTAGGGCAATAAAGAGCACGTTTATCAATGTTTGAATTGAAAATGTTAGTAATGAAATTTGTTCCTTCCTGAGATGACAACTTTACACTTTTTTATTAAAGAGCAAATGATGCTCTGCATCCTCTAGTTTCTCACTTCTTTTCACAAGTATGCATAATCCCCTCCCCTGAAACCATGGCAACCATCGACACACAGTCACTGTTTACGATTTTTTTTTTACTTCATCGCTGACATCATTAACACTCAGAGAACAAAGCCTGTGCATTCCAGTCAGCTGCACATACACTGCTTTAACCCCCATTCAGCCGTCTTTTTGCACGCTGCCAGAGTTCATACAGGTCAACAAAATGTCCGCCATCCTTAATGAATACACACTGTTTTTTTAAAAAGCACCAAGCAGAGGGCCGTCACTTCTGCCATCCTCTTCCTTCAGTTTCTCTTTTGTGGTGAGACGATACATGAATAAGGTTGTCACTTAACTGGCAGACAGCCAGCGTGTTGTTGTGAGTTCAGGGGGCTGAGCAGAGAAGACTTGAAAGTGACACACATTGTTTTTCAGATGTTGATGAAGTTCGCGCCTCATGTGACTCAGTTCCACGGTCCCCAGGCCCTGTGAAACCAAGTTTAAAAAGCGGGGGTGTTAATATTTCACTGTGTTTCATAAGGCTTTACTCAAGTTAGCTTAGGCGGAGATTCCTTTTGAAATTTAGAAGTTGTCTGATTGAAATCAGCAGGGATTTAATCTGTTTACCTCACACATTTGAATTTATCCAATTGCATGGATAAATGCAATTGGATAAATTGCATTTATCCAATTGCATTTATATTATGGTAATAATATAAATCTATTACCAGTGCTTAATCAAGACGAGTTTTAACTTTTACTCTTGTTTTATTTGTTCCAAAAGTTTTTTTCACAGATATAACTCTTGGAGGATTCACATGATTATATGTATAGTGGAACTCTTAATCTTGTTGTTTGTCAGACTATTATATTGACAATTGATAAACATTTTTATATAAAATAATGGAAAACTCAGAAAGTATACAAGTATCTTCACAAATATGCTTCATAAAACACACATGAAATGCATCTCAAACATAGCACCAAAGTGAAGAAAAGTCCTTTCTGTACAAATAGGTTTTTAACTGCGGTTTCAAATTCAGCAAGGGAATCAATAGTGTAAAATTATTTCTTACATTTACACATAAAAGTAATTGATAAAATTTAAATGCAAGAAACATGACAATCTTAATTGTTGGCTTTAAATATTGCATGTTTCCAGCTGTTATGTGTTTTCAGTGGAGGTTCTCCTTAGTGTCTGCACCTAGACAAAAAGGAAGAAAATGTTGCAATTGCACTGTTTTTGAGTTCTGATGAAAGCAACGTGTCTCATTTTGTTTTTGTGCTTTTTCACAGGACCATCAATATAACTGGGATGATGGGATCCACAGAGATCACCGGCCAGAGCCAATGCATGCCTCCTCTGACAAAAGCAGCCAGGCCTCCAACTATAAAAACAGAGCCGGCTTTGCCACCATCAAGTCTGCTTCACTTGTAAGAAGAAATCAAAATCTTCCCCCTTGTAGATGTTTTCTATCTTTTCTGAGATTCCACAAAAGTTTTTATTTTGCCTCAGGGGTTTATAAATCAATCATTTCTAGAGGGTTCACCTTGAAACCTGGGTTACTTTGAAAACAAAAACATAAATGGGACACTTTTTTTCTCCTGCCACACGACAAAATTTGAGCGTGATGCACATATGTTGCATAGCAAGGCACAGAGGGGCATTCTTTTGTTTGTCTCTGTTGAGACCTGTCTGTGGATGTGCGGGGTGAACAGCTGCGTCTGGGCGTGACTTCTCCACACATGCTTGAACAATCTTATGTTTAAGCAGCCGATCAGGTCATAACTCTGTTTTCAGCCATCAGTTCTTCTTTGAATGCTTTTTTTCCTTCCACACGTTTAGCGTCTTTCTTTATCTGCTCGCTTTGTTTTTTTTTTTTCTTCTTGTGCAACACCTCAAATTATCACCTCCCTCCCCACTTTTCTCATTTCTTGCCCTCCTTCATTTGGGAATGCATCATTCTCAGATGTGACTCAATATTATGTTATGAAGGTGTGTGAGGAGGGGGGAGCGCTCTCTTTCTTTTCTTCTATGTCCCTCTTTCATCCTCTCTCCTTCACCCTCCCTGTCTGTTGCCATGGAAACCAGCTCTAGTAACTAGATAGTAATAGTTGTGTGAAAATGTGCGACAGTGTGTGCGCTCCCCCTTCCCTGAACCCACTGGTTTTAATTCTGCTGTCCGGTCTTAAATCAGACATCTGACAGACAAATAAGGCAGCGTGTGTGTTCGCTGTCCTCAGATTGTCCTTGACCAAAGTCCACAAGCCAACAACAGACCTGGGCCAAGCACTGATTGTGTTGTTTGCCAAGCACTGTTTTCAAATGTTATATTTGGATTTCACCTTTTTTTTTTTTTTGTACTTGACATCAATACTTTTGGGATCGATAGGAATTCATCTACAAGCCTTACATGAAAAGTTTGGGAACTGACTTTGCAATCAGGGGGAAGATGGGCTGTGAGGAATTTTCAAACAGAAATTCGGAAAGGCCAAAGTAATTGGAATAAAAGGAAAAGATTTTGCCAAAAGCAATAGAAACATGTTAGAAGATGCAAATATACACATATTTTCTGAATAAAAAAAATAAAAGTTTTCTTGGATTCATTTTGTAAAGCAGAACTAAGTGAAGCTATAACAATGCCACGGGAGGAAATTTGGCTAAAACACATTTACAGACAAAGGTATTTTTATCTTAAATGAAAAGAAATGTATAGTTTTGGCATAATTATTGCTCTGAATATACAGCAAATGTCCTTTTTGTGTCTGTATTGTCCAATTAATGATTAATCGGTTACTAAATTAGATAAATATTTCAGTTATCAATTAGTCATGATTAATACAGTTAATTGTTTCAGCCTTCGTTGACATGCTATGTCTGTATCATCAGAAAGACAAAAACAAGTAGTTGCATTTCTTTTTATGCAAGATTAAACAAAAAAGTCTGCATTTGTATAAATGAAAACCCCTCCCCAAAAACTATCTAAATCTGCTAAAGCAGTTTAAAATATTTTGGCCCGTTCAGCAGTGAGGTGGATTAAAGTTTTGGTGTTTACACCTCCGGTGTCTGGCTGTGTGTGATTGAAGCAGTCTGTTTTGAAATGAGGCTGCATCCCATAAAGCTCAGCACCATTGTAGCGCTACAGCGCTGGAGCTGCCCGCCGGCGCTGAAAGAAATGACATCATCCTTTTTCTGCCGTGCACAGACGTCCTCGGATTGGCCTCAACTCACCGAGACTGGGAGCAGGTAGACAAAGAGAAACAGTGAGAGTCTAATAAGGGTCCATATGGTAGGAAACAGATTGCCAAAAGGAACTAGATGTGTGAAAACATAAAAATGTGATTATATACATTCACAAAAATCTAAGTGCAGATTAGCATTTTTTAAATCCACAAGTGACAGATGTTTGATAAATGAAAGGGTGAGTAAAATGAAAATGCATCATGTCCAAAGCAGCTGAACACAGGGAAGACGCAGATGGAATATTGTCATCGAGGTGAGGAGGGGAGATAAGCAGGTGAGACAAAAGAGCATCACTGATTGAATTATAAGCAAAGAGGTCAGAGAAACAAACACCAATCTGTTATTTTGATACTAAATGTAGAGATTAGTTTCAGGGAAAATGAAAGAAAAGAACAATCATACAGAAATGTAAAGAATAAGAAACTGCAAAAAGATCATTGGAAAGTGAAGAGTGGCACAAGTGCAAACAGAAAAGCAGGATAAGAGCTTGTAGATTTAGGGAGGAAACAGATTGAAGATGATTTAAGAAACAGCTTTGTTGTAAAATATTTCACTCCTCACCGTCAGCTGCAGGTTGTTACCTGACAGCCTGGCTGCCTCTGGCTGATTGCAGTGAAATGTAACATCAATCATTCCTGCTTGGTCCTCATGCCAACTGTTAAAACCTAGAACTTGAAGTAATAGACTAAATAGCCTATTGCATACTACTACAGCAATCTTGTAGTATGTATGCAGTGCCTTATAAAATAATTGCTTTCTACATTGACATGTTCCAGTAACAAAAATATATGTATTGTAAGTTGTGTATAACTATGGAAAAAATAAATCTGAAAAGTGTGCCATGCATTTGTAGCCTCTCTCCAACCCTGAATAAACTAACTGCCTTTAGTTTATTACAACATGTGGAACATCTTTAAAAGATGTTCCACATGTTGTAAAAACTATTATAGTCCATTGATGAGTGGAAATCCTGGAAGGACACCTGTTAAAGGCTGCAAGACACTTAAGCCTGGGGAACAGGAAAGTAACCATAAACATACAGCTACAATGGATGCAATAGTTTGGATTAATGCACATTTGTGTTAGAATGGCCTACCCAAAGTCCAGATGTCAAGCCCAATTAAGAATTTATGAAAGAAATGTGAAGTCTCTAAATGTGTAGAGCTGGTAGAGAAAACCCAAAACCCTCAGTACTCGTGGATGGTTCTGAAAACTTTTCAGTAAGAAGTTTGGACTCACAAGTTACAGAATACATATGCATGTTATTCTTTTTAGATTTTTATCTGCCAGAAATCTGAAATGTTATTTTTTTACAACCAAATAATTTTTCTTTCCACTTTAAAAAAATTGTTTAAGGTGTAAAGGCAAGGCTCTCCCACTAAAATATAGTTAAAGCAGTAATTAAACGACATGTTTGTTTCAAATGTATTATGTTAGGAGATGTAAATACAAAACGAGAAGCTTTTTACATCAGTGATTTCTGCAGGAAAACTGTGGTCTGTAGAGGAAGCAAAAGGTCTGTAGAGGCCTTTTACTTCCTCTATTCAACAAGATGACTTCACCATATGTCACTATGCATCTGAAGTAACCTTTGGATATTTCCCTGCCAGAGCTAATCCAAAAAGAGTATCTTTGTTGTAGCAAATTTGACACCCTGTAAACTTGATTTCTGCTCCAAATGAAAATGTTTAGAGAATGCTTATAGGTGTACAGCCTCTGTCATTTAAACTAATCCGTCACTTAGCATTAAAAACGATGTTCCAGACCACCTTGCATTGCAGAATCAGCAAAGTGTAGCTTCTGGATTCCCACTGATCACTCCCACCCACTGGCCCCAAACCCTGAGTATGATCTTCTTTTTAGACCCACAGCCTTATGTGAAAGAGGCCACCACATGCCGTGACTTGGCCCTTTGTGGCATTGAAGCAAGTGACCAGGATTTGGGTGGCTCTATTACAGTAGGGGTATTGATTCAACACAGATTAAGGAGGAGAGCTCAGAGTCCACCTTTTCCCCAATCCCTCCCTCTTTTTCTCTCACCATGTTTGTGCTCATTATACTACTAAGGCATATTTTTCTTCTTTTTTCAGTTTTGTTCTTTTCTTCTTTTCCAGTTTTAGTCATTCTTTATTTGCTTTTTTTCTTGACAACGTCCCTCCCTCATCACTCAGCCTACTCTCTTCTGAATCCTCCTCCTCTAACTTCTCTCACTCTTTCTAAATGAGGTATTCATGTGACCCACCTGCTGTCCGCCGCTTAGCGTTAGCCGTACTAAAAAGCCGCTCTGTCCTCTTGTTGGCCCACGGCGTCGGTCTGCCTCATTCACAGTTCACACGTCTGCTTTGGCCACTGCATGCCCAGGGCACAAACCAAAGAAGGGGAGGGGGCTTCATCGTCCTGTAAAGGTTGGGAAAGGGCGAAAGGGGAGGGGGTCTCCGGGAAGCATCGGAGCTCAGGCAAGGTTGTGTCGGGCATAGGATGCCACACAAGGTTCCTGGATGCTGGTGCACTTGGCTAAAATCGCCATCATGTTTGGCCGGAAGAGTTCGGGTGGAAGTTATGAGAAGATGCGGAGCGAATACTACCTAGATATGGAGAACCCTTTTTGTCCTCAGGTTTGTGGTTCAGAAAGTTTTGGTTTGAAAATCAAGGATGTTTATGGATGTATGTGAAAAACAGTGGACGGTAGCTTTGGTAGCAGCTGTTTAGGACATTTGAACACTTTTGAGGTTGCCTAATCTGTGCGACAAATGCACTGCAAATTCACCAAACCTTACCATGTATTTTTTGCTTAGTTTCTTGAATTACAACACTAACAAACAAGTAACTTTCCTGCAAGATAAAGTAGCTTTTTTGAATTCTAGACAATTCATTTTAAAAAAATACTAGTTTGACTGGCAGATTATTTCGCTTAAAACAAGACATTTTTTCTTTAAGTGAAATAATTTGCTGGTGGAACTAGAGCTTTTTCACCAAAATTAAGGAATCATAGACTTAAAACAAGCTGCTATGTCTTGTAAACAAGTTTTGTTATATTTTAAGCGTAATATGTTATTACGCTTAAAAGTTAAAGCAGTAACGTTTAAGCGTAATATGTTATTACGCTTAAAATAAGACCAGAATCTAGACAAAAATACTTGGTAAGATTTTGTATATGCATTAGTTGTGTGAAAAAGCAGTTTTGGAGCTTCACAGGTGAATTTGTCTCTATTTTGTTAATTTCACTAAACACAAATAGCAGAAGCTAAAAACTTTAGTTTTCATCAAATGTCCTTGTCAATATTAGTCTTAATATTTTTATAGCTTTATCCTGTTTTTTTTATGTGGAATAAACTACAAAGACAAAAAAACTATGTCAAATCTTATCAAGTATTTGATTAGTTTCTAATGCAAATGTTTTAGTACACTATAAATAAAACAAACTTTAGTACTAATTACACTAGCAACTTATAAAATTTGTGACATGTTATAAATTAAATAATGTTCCAGTGTACTTAATACTTTTTTGTCAATAGTAAGGGATTATTTACTTGAAACAAGGACCTATATTTTACTGAAAAGTTACTTAGAATTTGAGTTTGTCTTATGGCAAGTGTACTAATATTATTGTATTGGAAATACTTGATAAGATGTGGGGGGGGTTTATAGAGACCCTCCACCCCCCCAAGTGCCCCTCAAATGTATCACAGTTCAGATTTACCAACATCTATACTTATAGGTGACCAAACAGATCCACGAGCATGAGCAGGAGAGTGAACTGCGGGAGCAGATGTCGGGCTACAAGCGAATGCGGAGGCAGCACCAGAAGCAGCTGATCGCCCTAGAGAACAAGCTGAAGGCCGAAATGGACGAGCACCGGCTCAAGCTGCAGAAAGAGGTGGAGACGCAGGCCAACAATGCCTACATCGAGCTGGAGAAGCTGGCCAAACGCCACGCAGTGCAAACTGAGAAGGAGGTGGGCAGGAATACACTAATTCACACTTATTTCTCCCCCAGTTATGATTCATTATATGTTTCAGTGAAAAGGTGACCAACAATGACATGTTTTTACATTTTAATTATTGTTCCAAAGCTACTAAAAAGTTATTGGTACTTTGGACCAACATTTCATATTTTAGAGGAAAATTGTAAGAACTCATCTCACTACTGCCTCCTACTGACGCATACGATGAAGTGCAAGAGCAGAAATGGGTCACGTTATTTTACTCCCTGAAAAACAAGTTGCCTATCTTTATGATTAGCACACAGCGTGTCCAACCAGCAAAAAGATAGTATAATCTATACATGTAAACAGGCACTGAAGCTGCATAAACTACCCCAACGTAGTTTATCACAAGAAGCAGCATGCCTGCGCTTGGCAATATGAGTTTTAGGACAGAAAATTTTTTCAAATTGCATTTTTATCCAAACTTTAACAGTAGATAAGAGGTCCAACTTTAGGATATTTGTTTACAGCTTTTATCTTTTTGTTTATTATTATTTATAGAAGCATATTGATTATTTTTCTTTCTATTTCCAAATTAATACAGAATCATATCTTTTTTTTTTCTTGACGTTGATTTCAAATTCAAATATTTGAGTAAAGCCTCTGAATTTTAGGTCAAATTATATTTTTTGACATAACATTGAATGTTTTTTCAACATTATTTTTTTCCCTTGTGTACCAGGATCTACATCTACAACCGATTGATTTCAGACAGACATTTAAATGCCTAATTTTTCTTCCAGATGAAGACGGCACTCGCAGATGAGAAGAAGTTCCAGCAGCAGATCATGGCGCAGCAGAAGAAAGAGCTGACCACTTTTCTGGATAATCAGAAGAAGCAGTACAAGCTCTGCAAAGAGAAGATTAAGGAGGTTTGCTCTGCTTGTTCTCCTCTGTTGTACGCCTCTCTCCAGTGTGACACACCGTCCTATTTACTGTTTACTGTTGAGTCAAGCCTCCTACACGCAAACATGCACATTCAAAACCTCTGAAGTGAAAGTTTTGTTGAGTCACTCGGCCTACTTGCTACGTACCTTCACATTTATATGCACACAAACTGGGAGAAGTACAAATCCATATTTACGCCGGAGAATTCTCATCCCTCCACAACCCCGAAATGAAGTCCAGAAAGTGTTCCTATGGGCTGGGAGTCTGATGCATTGTGTTTTCAGTTAGGAGATAAATGACCAAAATTAGGTCAGCACTGTTAAAGGAAGCATCGCTGGCAGGAGAAGATATTTTCGACAAACTGAGGGCTACAACAGTATTAGACACTCCAGAGAGAGGGGATCAGGCTTCAATGTTAAATTCATTCGTGTGAGTTGGAGATTACCTCAAAGTCCAGAAAATAAGAAAAATGAAGTGTTTTCTGCCAAAATAAGAAGTTAGCTGGAGTTTGCAATAAGCAGTCTACTAATAAATATTAATATGATCTCAAGGCATTCTTTTGTAAAGCCCAGTTTCTTTAGACTACATTTGCTTTTCACATATCCTTTTAAGTTCCAAATTAGAAAGCAAATTTGCAGCAGTCAACAGTCGCCGCTCTGTTTCTCCTCTTTTTCTCAGGAGATGAATGAGGACCACAGTACACCCAAGAAGGAAAAGCAGGAGCGTCTGTCCAAGCACAAAGAGAACATGCAACATTCCCAGGCCGAAGAGGAGGCCCTTCTTCTGGCATCGCAGCGAGTTTTCTATGAAAGAAACTGCCGCGCCTTCAAGCGCAAAGTCATGACTAAAAGGCACGACGTGGAACAGGAACAAATCCGTGAGGTGTGGAAGCTATACGTCATAAATATCATCTGCAAATCTGTTAAAACATTCATCACACATGTCCTCTTTAGTTGTGTGCTTGTTTTCTAAAGTGGTTGGTGAAGGTTTAACATAAAACTGTGTATTTCTGCTGAAAACATTCATTGTTTAATAAGTAGATTATTACAGAGTAAAGCTTGCCAACTATGTCATAATCTAGAAAGCTGACCAGCTCTTAAAATCCAGAGATGAGTTTTAACAGCCAAAAGCTCCCGGTGGAAAAATACACTGACTCACAAAGAGTTTAAATTGACATAAGGACCAGATTTAATGTGGATGTAACTGTCTTCCAGAGATCAATTTTTGAATTTTAAAGTCCCAGATTTCTAATTCATATATTTCATCCCACAACATTTTTGCTTTTGAGGTCATTTCTTTCTGTGTTGTCATTTTGCTTTTATATAAGTTTTTTGCAGAATGTAGATATATTTTTTTTGGCACAATTATGGCTTGATTACTCCTCTTTGCATGTTTTTCTCCAGTTAACAATTTATCAAGTTCTATATTTGTTGACAATTATTTCAATAATCGATTTGCCATGATTAGTCTGATTAATTATTTCAGCCCTACTTTTATTGTAAGACGAGAAGGACATATTGAAGGGTGCCTCTGCATCTATTTAAGTTTTAGCTGAAAAGTCAAAAAAGCTTTAAGATCTACTACAACACAGACTGCAACAGAAGATTCTTTCATTCCACAGCCAGTGCTTGAACAAACTACGATAATAAGATTTGCCACACCTTTTTTTGTTTTTATTAAATTGAGTTCAGTTAAAAGTGGTTACTTGTTTTTGTTTTTTGTTTTTTTCCCCAAAACAGGAGTTAAACAAGAAGAAGACTCAAAAGGAGATGGAGCACGCCATGCTGATCCGCCACGATGAGTCCACCCAGGAGCTGGAGCAGCGGCAGCTGAAGACGCTGCAGAAGCTGCGAATGGACCTGATCCGCCTGCAGCACCAGACGGAACTGGAGAACCAGATTGAGTACAACAACAGACGAGAGCGAGAGCTCCACCGCAAACATGTGTTGGAGCTCCGGCAGCAGCCCAAGAACCTCAAAGTGAGTCATCACAGGGGAAAACGTGTTTGCATTCATCAGTGTGCTGGATATTGTCTGGTGGAGAACGAGGATTTAAGGGAACTGGGTTTCACCTCCAAGATGGCGCAAGCTAGAAGCAATATTTTTTTTTCTCTCCTTCATTTCTGAATAGGAAGTGATGCAACTTAAATGTAATAAATTAAAATGGGCAAATGGTGCAAGAACAGTTTAGAAGTTTGTTATATTTTCGTTTGATTTAGAGAGCAACAGTGTTTCTCGCAGTTCAGTGCATAATGGATAAACCTAAAGACAGGATTCACAGACTTTTCCCACAGTAAAAGTGAAACACTTTTCAAGCATTTTCAAGGTAAGTTTTCAAACTTTCCAGCACCACACTGGAGATGAAAAAAGCTAAAAAAAATTGTTTCAATTCAGTATTATCTAACGTAATTTATTACTGTCAGTTATGATGTCTTGTGATAGTATTTTATATTCTACACCAGGAACAAGGTCAAACAAAAATATAACAAAATGTTTTGTGAAAAATGTCTCTCTCACACACACACCCTGTACACCTGACCAGTCTCAGAAAAAAACACCAATTTAACAAAAAAAATCTATAACATCGTGTAACATAAATATAAGTCGAACTTGTTTTAATTGCTTTAACTAAAATGAAGTTATGAATAAGTTATTGTGCCATTTGGGATAATAAATATTTATAACAATGAAACAGTTCAAACAAACATCTAATAAAATTAGATGCTTAAAATACAATGTACAAGTAAGGTTACAAAAATAGGCTATCTCTTAAATTGTTCTTGCTAAGTAATTTCACTGACATGAAAGATTTAGTCTGCTTCAACTTCAGACAAAGAGAAATTTTTTTTGTGTTTTAAGGTGTATGAAAATATCTGGTTTCAATAATATTTTTGCAATGGGCCTTGAATCAAATGTTAGGTTGCATTTTCTCTCTAGACTGTGCAACTTGAATTTCAACTACTTCATACCAAAATCGAGCGCTTTTCAAACTTTGAAATCTCCTATTTAAAATTCAAGAATTTTCAAGGATTTCAAGAACCCGTACCGACCCTGATAGACTGTCATCCTACTTTCGCCCATCTTTTCATAGTGTTTGTTTCTCTGCCTGACTCTGAATTGTCCACCAGGTGTTGGAGCTTCAGATCAAGAAGCAGTTTCAGGACACATGTAAGGTCCAGACCAAGCAGTACAAGGCCTTGCGCCACCACCAGATGGAGGTTACGCCCAAGGCGGAGCACAAGACGGTGCTCAAGGCCCTGAAGGATGAGCAGACTCGCAAGCTGGCCATCCTGGCGGAGCAGTATGAGCAGAGCATCAACGAGATGATGGCCTCGCAGGCGGTAAGGCCAGAGGTTTCTAAAAGCTTTTGGTTCTTTAAGTGGTGGAGAAAATATTTGATTGGCACCTTATTTATTTTCTCCCCTCTCTGCCCGTACTATGTCCTGACTTTCCCTGTCACCTCTCTTTCATCCCTCTCTCGATTTCTTCACCCCGTTTCTCCATCTCTTTCTGTCGCTTTGTCCCTCCCTCTCCTTGCGGTCCGCGGTCGGCCCTGTCAGCTGCGTCTGGACGAAGCCCAGGAAGCTGAGTGCCAGGCCCTGAGGCAGCAGCTGCAGCAGGAGATGGAGCTGCTCAATGCCTACCAGAGCAAGATCAAGATGCAGACCGAAGCACAGCACGAGCGCGAGCAGCAGAAGCTCGAGCAGAAGGTGTCGCTGCGCCGGGCGCACTTGGAACAAAAGGTGCGCTATAGGAAATACTTTAGTCACTTAAAGCTGCCTTACTTGAGACAAGATTTTAACATTCGACGTATTTATTTGTGGTCACATTAAACTAAGCAAATGAAATCTGCAAGATGGAAATACTTACTGCTTACTTATTATGTAAGACTAAACACAAGATCTCAAAGGAAAAATGCTATTTGACTAGAGTTATAAAACAGATGCTGCTAAAACTGCAGCTGCACCTCCCATTTCTCGATGTCCATTTGGTTTTTTTGAGAGCCACAGTTTGTCGTCAGAGAGCTCCTGGCAAGTGGAGACTATTTGTTGTGATTGCGCAGACTTGCTTTGTGGTGTGAATGTGCAAGGGTGTGCTTTATTTTGTTGACGGCCTTACTTAACTTCTGTAGTTCAGAAGTTAAGTTGCATCTTCTACTGTGAATTTCAACCAAAAATATCACTGTACTTTATGTAAAAGAAACAAAGTATGGCATAATTTTGAAGATGAAAGACGATGTTCAATCTTTTTATCTCTTCATTTATTTACCTATTTATTTGCTAATTAAAAAAGGATTGCACTTTTAATCTTGTTTTTGTTGGAAAGTCACCAAATTAAGAAACAGAGTCCACATGTGAGTAACTTTAACTGGTAGCAGTTGTTGGAAAGACAAATGAGGCTTTAAATAATATAATAAAAGGTGGATGCATTCACATGCATGCCACACTTTGAAATTTTCCATCCATTTTGAAAACTATTGCTTTTGTTTCACAATTACGCACTATGTATTATCAGTATGTTGAATGTGAAAAAAATGCTAAAGGGATATGAAAACTTTTTCAAGACCGTTGTTTAATTCACAGCTCTGAATATCCGGATTCACATCAGCAGCCGGTGTGAACCTGAAAATGTGACCCAGAAAGATATTCGCATGTTTGCAGAGACTCTCACACAGACAGCTTTCCTTCGCCGCAGGTGGCGATGACAGTGGCATGACTTCCTGCTGGGTGCAGACAACCATTCTCTCCTACAGTCCTAGCTGCTGTGCAGAATCTCAAATCAACCCCATTGTGTCGTGATCACTTTTTTGTAAATTTCAACTTTTTCAAAATGTGTAATTCAGGTACCTGAAGTCACGCCAGATGGTGTTTACTGTTTTTGTCACCTTATTTTACAGAAACTCCAGCCGCTGTACAGTTGTAGGCTGTTATATGTTTGTTCTGATTTGACATTTTTATCAGTATTTGTCCCATAAAGCTGTTGCGAGATCCTCCCAAGTACATCGGTCATCTTTAATGTGACTATCATGTAAATCAGTGACATGAGATAAAACGGCAGCAGAGTACTCATCCTTTCAAACTGACCTACGTCATCACAGCAGTCTAGTAGACAGCACTCCGACAACAAAGGAAGGGACCTTTGAAATGCCGCCCTCATCCAGTTCTGTTGGATCCAACACGGCTGCGCTGCCTGCGGTTACTTGTTGCCATCTGCTGGTGACAGCCAGATTTGCAAACCGTTACGAAGATGATGTCATGATTTTTGAAGCACTATTGTGCTCCGGTTCGGTTCACGGTCAAAGTCTGGAGTTCTCTGTGCATGCTCAGTAGTTCGTCAGATTGCCGTATTGCACCAGGCAGTGTGTTTATCTGCACCTGTGGATGTGTGTGTGTCGAGCAGATGTGTGTGCTCCACCACAGCATTTCTACAACTTTAGAGTGAAGTCATCATCTTTCCAGGTGAAGACTATTCTGTAGATAACACCACAGTGATTACACAACACTGCTGTGTAATGAACACAATGTTTCTACACTAAAAAGATCAAATTTTAATCACTTTTTCATTTATGATTTGGATCAGCATTGGCTCTGCATTTTAGGACTGCAGTGAGCACTGCAGTAAGTTGGGACACCGGCAAAAACAAAAAGCAGCAATAAAAACGTTACGATGTTAAATAAAGACCCGCAGTGCGCTGAAAAAGTATTAATACTCCCAAACTTATTCACAATCACAAAAGATAGAGACAAAAATGTAACTTTTTGACTTGTCATCAATGCACTGTTTTACATGAATCTAGTTAAAGTTGAGAGGATAAATATGTTAGTGTGCTTTTAGAGACTACAAAATACTTTATTCTGGTGTGTAGTTTTTTTCAAGTGTACAAAGGCATTTGCAGTAGAAACTATATAAAAAATTCTTGGTAAGATTTTAGTTTTTGCGGCGAAGGTCAGATCTTTTCAGTCTAGTCCGAATGAGTTTGAGTAAAACGTTTAGTATCTAAATGTGCAAAGCTGGTAGAGGCACCGCAGCTGTAACTGCAGTAAAAAGTGTTTTTTCAAAAGTGTTGGGGAAACTGAGCACAAATGCACACCACACCTTTCAGATTTTAAAAGCCACATACCGTATAAGTTTTACTTCACAATAATACACTACTTTTTGGTGTCTTATCATACAGATTATAAAATTTATGAAAACTGTTTGAGCTTTTTAGAAAAGAAACTCCCAAAAAACTAAAAACAAAAGCCTGATTTAGATTTCTTCCTCTTTATAACCTTCCAGATCGAAGAGGAGCTGGGTTCCCTCCAGAAGGAGCGAACTGACCGCATTAAGCACCTGCTGGATCGCCAGGAGCGGGAGATCGACAACTTCGACATGGAGAGCATGAGGCAGGGTTTTGGCAACTTGGGTACCTTAGACTTTCCCAAGGACGACTACAGATGAGGAGTTAGGAGGGGAAAGGTTGCTGTCGTGTGTCGTCCTTCTGCCTCAGATCAACCGTCCTCTCCTTCTACCTGACCTGGCCTGACAGTGCAGGGATTTTTTCTGCTGCTGACATCCTCATCAAAAACACACAGATAGATGTATGGGGGAAAAAAAAAAAGCTCCAGATTTGGTGAGCCAGTGTGTGTTTCATGGCCGGTCAAACGGAGTCGACGGCGGGTTTTAGATGCCCAAATCCCACCGAAACTTCCTCCCCCTCTTTGCCTCTTGTGGTGTCACAAGATGACAGAAAAAGATAGATAAATTCTTGTAGTTGTCACGTTTTTGTAATGATAATGATAACATAGTCAGTGTTTCTTGTTCCTTGTGCAATGATGACACTTTTGGTGTGACCTAAAAGTGGAAGTCAAGAGAAGGAGGGAGAGAAAAATGAGGGTACTTCAATGAGCGAAATCGCTCCACAAACATGCATTTATGCAAAAATGATTTTCTTCTCTAAAGCTGTGCAAAAGAAAGGAAAAAAATCTCTTAAATCGACAAATGAAACGACTGATCCTTCCGCAGCGCATCGTCTTTGCTGCTTCTTTGAACTCTTTTTGGTAATTATTCATCAGGACATTTTTAGGACAAATTTTGAATAATTTGATACTTGGAGAGACGATCATCATGGTGTACGAACAGGTGCACAGATCAGACATATTATTCCTTCAGGTGAATTTGATTGCTGAAGGTGGGCTGGATCATGGTAATCGCCGTGTATATCCTAGTGATTTTACTGCACTGGCAGCCAATGTGAAATACAGAGACATACATGTGAGCTGTATACTCCCAGTTAGTACAAAGGGCTTCAATGGGAGGGCAGGGCTGTCTTGTATCTTGTGTATAGATGGATTTATGGAGAGCTTTTACTTATTTTCATATTGTATTTTAACTGTCACACAAATCCCAAAAAAATTTTTTTAAAACGCTTTCTTTTTCTTCTTCTTCTGCCCCATCTTTTACAGATAGTATTTGAAGTCCCGTCATTTATTAATGAGTTTCTTTTCTTTTTTCTTTTTGCTTTACACAACTCTCAAGCTGTGTATTTTCTTATAAACCAGACCAGTATGATGCTTTATTAATGCATGCACTTTATTTTTTTTTCAGGTCTAAAGAAAGCATGAATCTGTCAGAGCTTTTAATTATATTTGTAAATAAAGTGCTCATCACACAAAGTAAAGGAGCGTAAACGTTATTCCTCTAAGCGATGGAACCAGTTTCAAATGGCCATAGCGATACATTTTAGACAAACTATTAAAATGTATATCTTTAGTTAGAAAAACTGTAAAGAAATATATTTTTTTAAATGATTCTAATTAAAACAAACATGAATTTAAAAGTGTAAAATTATTATTCACACCACCAGTCTTTGAATTGGTTAGATTTATTCTATTTTGTCTTGGAGTTACATCAATAATTTTATTGTATAATTTCCAACTTATATAGTACCTTTAAGATGGATAGATTTGCAAAATATTTGTTTCTATCCTAGAATTGTCAGTTGTTCCAGAGCCTTACTTGGGAATTTTAGTTCCTACTTTTACAATGCAATTACAAAGAAGCTCCTAACCTCCGGAAATCAGAGGATCTGTTGAATCTCGTCGATCTTTGTCTCATCAGAAATATCTCAAACAATATGTGCAGAGAAAAAGATTTTAAAAGCACCCAGGACAACCTGAAGCAGACAGTGAAAAACTTATTGTTCTAGATGAGTGTGAAAATATGTATTTTCTAATACCTTGCCCTTAGCGATCCTCAAAATGTGTTGTTTTTTTATTAAATAAAGTCAAATGCAAGCTTAGTAATACGCACGTAATAAGTATAACTTTTCTCAAGTAAAACAAGCTACTAAAAACAGAAGGGCATTGGAGAGTTTTTCCCAAGAATGTGAACTTCAGCACATCAAAGCGAACCTCTAGAAAAATTACTATTATCTAGAAATTTCATCAAACCCAACGGATTGTTACTTTAGTTGCAAATCAAATGTACAACACTTTCATAGATCATGTGTTTAATAAGCAGGCTAAGGACAATTTGAAGACACAACTAATAGTCTTATGTTGGTATGTGGTTTATTGCTGCAGCCATAAAGGAATTTTAAATGGATTTTGAGGTTGAGGTTAATTTATAGCCCCCAAACTTTTTCTATCTGAAGTTCTCAACTTTATTTTTTTAATGTGGACCAACAAAAGATTGACATTTGGGTACAAATGAAGTGTCCAACAAAACCATATGTGAGTTCTTTTATTTTTTTTGTATGAAAAATGCAACCATGTTTTTTTTTTTTTTTAAATCTGTTAACACGCAACACTCAAACACCTATTTCTAAAACATTTGAGAAACAGTTATAGAGGATCATTTTCTGTATTTCTAGAGAATTTGAAATTGGCTAAAGAAAAAGTGGAAAAAGCTGATTCAACGGTTTATTTTAGAACAGGTCATTTCATTTTGAGGAGTCATTCTTGTAACAGCGATAAATTAAAAAAAAACATGTTACAGTTGCACAAAACTTTGCTTTCTTTCTTAAACGGATAGAGCATTTCCAGTGGAGGAACGCCACGGGATTTTTCTACTACTAAACACACTTGCTTGGGGTCTTTGCTTGCTTATTTTCCAGCCAGCTGCTCATAAAGTTTAGGCACATAACTGTCCCACTCTGCTTGGTAGCAGGTACCCGCCACCGGGGCTCCCAGCTTGTACTTCTTTCTAAAGGTTTGCAGCTTGAATTTGCCGCGGCCGTCTCCAGAACGATTGGAGAGGACTTTCTCGGAGCAGGACAGGCTGTCCGGCTGCTCGTACACCAGCCACACATACCTGTGCAGACCTGAGGGAAAACATTACAGCAGCTTTTAAATGTTACATTTGGAGGAAAGAGTTTGGTGAAGGATCCTGTTGGTGCTGGAAATTGGAGTCAAAACAAGACAAGAAGACTGTTGAGGGATTTCCTTACATTTAATTGTAAGACTTTAAACATATTTTCTAAATGCTTTTAAACTAACTGGTAATTAGTGAAATAGCAATTACTTTTGTATCACAATTTCTCATTTACTTTCTTACCTGTGCCTTTTGGAGGACCAGAGCCCACATAGTCAGACATGACACAGCCAGAGGAAACATCATTCCCCTTCATGTTGACCACCAGAAAGTGGTGCCACTCTCTTTAACAGAAAAGGTTAAAAGCAAAGTTAATTCAAGAGATTTGGTTAATTCTTGACATCAAGCTGGCAGACAACTGTGAGACTCGCAGAGTCAAAGAAAAAGGATACAAACTTGGTCCAAAATTCTTTCAATCTCACCTAAATTTGGGGTCTTTCCTGCTGGGAGCGTCTGGATCAGTCAGGGCCAAAGTGTACAGTTTACTGGGGTCACATCCTTCCCACTCAATAGAGGTGGGTCGACTCTGCACCTGTATGTAATTACAGTAAAGTTATGAGTTCCCATAACTTTTATTTTATTTTATTTTATTTACTTGCACAGAACAAGAATCTCTCATTTAATTTCTCACAAACTTTTGCTGACAAAGCATGCCATCTTTCACAACCTCTACTTCTGTTTGCCAGCAGAAATTCTACCGGAGGAAAGCAAGTGAATGGGAGAAAAACCGAGATATGAGTAGAGCAGAAATGAATAATAAGGCAAAGGCCAACTTTTTACCTGTTTCTTGTCTATTTTGTTTCGCTTTTAACTTACGTTTAGCTTTTCAAAACAAAGTCACTGTGACATCCATTGAGGGGCGCTATTGAGCCTTCAGCCTCACACATGCGGAATGTATTATGTAACCCAATTTACACCACTGCATGTTAGCTTAACATCACGTAGCTCACTGACCTGCGTTGGAGTGAGAACTTTGCCGAGCTCGTTGATCTCCAGAGACCCATATTTAACAGCCAAAGGCTTCGCTGGCTTTTCCTCCACCTCCTGCAAGGCGAGAGACCCGGACCACTGACTCAGATCCACGGGCATTTTCCCAGTGATGTTGTGTTTCCAGACCGCGCTGACTGGACCGCTGCTGCAGAAGCGCAGAAACTACCAGGAGTGCTGCGTTCACGGACCACCAGAAATCCAGATGACGTTGATATGTTGACGTTCATTTAATTGTGATAAATGTTTTAAATTACAAATGACTATTTTATTATTTATTTATCACATAATTTATGTGATAAATGTGTAAAAATGTGGTACATTTCATAATCAAGTCTGTGAGAGTTAATAGATGGCAATACAGTAATTTATCCCTCATTTCACCATCGACGGTGTAAAAAAAAGATTAATGCAAAATTTTCATTAGTCATAGATGAAAAATAAATAAAACTGTCTAAAATTAACCATTAGAATATCTTATGAAAGTCGGAGTAAGAGAAATTGTACTTTCCTTGCAAAGACAAAGCAAATAAACTACAAACAAGCAAAAGACCACCAGTAGTTTGATGTACCATAGGGAATCTGATTCGTTAAAATGAACATCAATCAGACTTTGTCCCTCCTTCAAACAGCATGTTCCATTGACACACTTTCTGTTTCCAGAATCAGACGCCCTCGGTTTTACTCTGGGGTCTGACAAAGACACAACTGTTTAACTGGGCCGAAACGCATTTTTGTAAATGGAGCACGTTGTTTTGTTTAAGAAAAATGCAGGAAACTAACAGCTGGATGAAAGTAGAATCTAACTACATATTACAATACAGACGTTTTCTAAAATCATTTTACCCTCTTGTTTTTTCTCTGTATATGTGTTGCCTTTGATTATTTTAATGATGATTCAGAATAAAGAGCAGCCTCAAGGCTTAAGTTTGGATGCATTGGTTGTGATATGAGTGCAGTGGCTTTCTTCACCGAGGCACTTTGTATTGTCTTGTTGCTGAAAATGTGATATATAAATGAAATTACCTTTACAAGCTTATGGGACCACCAGGAGGCAAAAAGCAATATAAAACAGGTTTCCAAATGACACCTGTTCTGGGTTATACACTGAGCTGCACTTACTGAAACGTTCGTGTGACCAGTCAGGCGAGCATGCATGCTTTTGGGTTGTGGGAGGAAGTGTCTCTGTGTGCAGCAGAAGAACGGATGGAAAACCCCTCACTTTGAAACAACAATGCAAGCAACTTTTAAAACGTGCATTGGCATTTGATAATCCCTTATTCAACTGTTTGTATACTGGTCAGACATCAACTGGGTTATTCAGAACAGAACACTAATTTGTTAAGATCCACCTTGAAATCTGTGAAACTTTTCTATTTGTGAAAATACAATAAATATATTTCAATTATTTATTTGCGACAGGTTATCTCTGATGAACACAAGACGGAAAACCACAATTCCCCAACATGAAACACTTTCTGCAAAATTTCTAGCCAAAATATCTATTACTAAATCAATGTTTTGATGTTTCTTACAAGAAACAATTACACATTTGTTTTCATTTTATTTTCTGATCCATTTGTGGCCATAACTGATCTTGCAAAGTTAGCAAATTAGCAAACGCAGACAGAAACTTAATATAAACAAATAAAAAGTCATCAAATTTTAATCAATTATTTGGAAATCATTTTAATTGAGATTTGAGAAATACACATCCATGGAAATCATAAGTTTAGTTCATAGCATAAGTTCAGTTCATAAGTTAAGTTGCTAAAAAAATAGCAACTTTTTTTAGTTGTTATTATCATTATATTAATAGTATTAATAATTACAATAGCGGGCTTGGAGAATTTTCAGGCAGGCTGTCAATTAAGCATGTAGAAAAAGAAGGATTTATTTATTTTTATTTTATTTTTATATCAATCATTTGGATTTTTTGGATAATGAATGACTTTCACAGAAAAAAAAAACAAACAACTAAAGCTTACAGATAAAGTTAATTATTTTGAAGAATAAATTACCTTTTCTGTCAGATAAAATATGTTCGAGAAAAATAACAGAGTCCAGTTCAGCTTGTCAAAGATGATAATGTTAAATGCCCATTACGCACCATTAGTGTCATCAGTGAAAAAAAAAAAGATGCTTCTGTCTCTTTAAGCAGGTGAGTCCTAGGTGCGGTTCATTCCTCCCAACGTTTCCGGACCTGCACGCGCTTGGAAACAAAGCACGTCCACCAAACCTCCCGTGGAGACACCAGAGGTAGCTCATCATGTCAGATCGGTGACCTTTGCTGGTTCTGCGGTCCATTTACTCTTCTTTGTAATGACCTTGCGTTCAGTGCCACAGGCCAGCGCGCACAGGTAGACTTGGACAAATTCGGACCAGAAGTCTTACTTTTCTTCGGCTAATTCTGAGGGCTATGTAGAAAAGGTAACATGAACATTGTCGCGTCTCTAGCGCTTCTACAGCTGTTTCTATCTGCGGCAGGTGAGTTGTGGTGACATAGTTCTAACAGGTGAGTTGAAATGAGGTTTAACTCCTTTCTTCTCTCTCGTCTTAAAGCGACAGTTTCGGAAAACTTCTCCACCGAAACTGTCCAGTTAGCCGCACCGGGCGACGTCGTTTTGCTTCAGTGTTACACCGGAGGGAATCTAACACCTGTCTGGACAACATGGATAAAAGACGGTCATATTATCGCCTCCAATGGTGAGCTGCATGTGGACTCTTCTGCCAAAGACCCGCGGCTCAACCTGGAGCTTAACGGGAGTCTGAGCATCACTAAAGTGATTCCTGAGGATGCGGGGAGCTTCCTGTGCAGCTCCAGGCTACCAGACAACACAACCATCAACGCACATGTCCTGCTTCAAGTAACCAGTAAGTGGGGAGGGTATGATGTCCAGTATGGCTTCAGGCTGATGGGATTCTTGTGGGTGTTGGTTGCCTGCAGTCACTGAAGCAGCTTCTCAACCAAACTGGTTTTTCCACATATTCGCCTGCCTTCTTCACATGACAGAAAGGGAGCTGTGCATGACTTGATGAAACAGTTTTTTACTTTTCACTTTCTATTTGGCTCCTCAGCAGGTTTCTGTCAAACTTGAATCTGTTGTTTTGTAGCAGGAAGACCTAAAGCATGCTGGATGCATCAATCCACTTTTTTATTGAGATATTGAGACCGATATCTGAGGTTCAGTTTCAGCCAATACAGAAAAGAAATGCAAATTCAGAGTATTTTTCTTTTGTACGTTTGGCCAAAATACGTAAAAATAACACAATTTTGATTTGGTCAGTGAGTGTGATTAGGAGTATAACACCCGATGTGAAATAAATAATAATGAAACTGGAACTGACTAAAACAGTAGGTTGACTACTGCTGCAGACTTTCTTCTTGATCAATGGTTTCTCTC